CTCCGAGTGGACCTAGGAGTTGGAGGCCGAGATGCAAGAGCATTATCCTGAGTTATTTGTCGCGGCAGACAATGAGGAGGAAGTCTAGACAAAGTAGGGGAGAATTGTAACATCCAGATGTGAGGTACTTTTAAATTTAACCCCTTTAATTCATTTACATTGCATTTGGCCCCAAAGTTCAAGAAATGTACGCAAAAAGGGCCTTAATGGCATTGTTGTAATTTAGGCCTTCGGAGTACGCCATGCATACATGGTCTACGCTAAGCGTACTAAGGCGCACCCTAGTATAATGGGCGTACATCAGTGTACACCGGGCATACTTTCCAGATGAGGAAACCCTAATGTTTAGGGCTTGGCTAGTATTTAAGTATCCTTATGGCCTCATTTCCCTTCACCTTATCCGCCTCCACCCTCTCATTCATGTTTGTAACCCTAGTTCACTTTGAGAAGCCATTTCTAGCCAAAAAGTATGTGTTTGTGTGCTTAGAAGAAGAAGGAAGGAAGCCAAGCTCATCTTGCAAGAGTGAAACACTTGGATCTAGGACTTATTCTTCATTGGCAACCCTTCAAAGGTATAAATCTTACAACTTTATCTTTTAATCATGTAGATCTATAATTGAGTGTTTTAGTGATGCTTTTTGGTCCCAAATGTCTTATCTTGAGCATGGCATGTTCTTGATGATTTGAGTTGTCCTTTCGACACTAGGATGGGTCCTAAGTCATAAAAATGAAGTCCCAATGCTTGGTTTCACTCCATGCATCTTGTAGAAGGTCTTAATGGATTAAGACCTTGATTTAAGCACTTAATGGGCATGTGAAGGCATAAAGTTATGACTCTAGTGTGTACTTTAGCCTTGGATCTAAAATATGGACCTAAGTGCTTAATCCATTAAGCACTTAATGAGCTTTGAATTTTACAAGAGTACGCCCTGCGTACGATGTCAAACACCCCGATGGTGGTCAACATGCGAGGACTTGGAGTACGCTCAGCGTACATTTGGAGACGCACTGCCTACTCGCACTAGGTTAATCCAATTGAGTTGACTTTGTTAACTTAGTTGGTTTGACCAATTGACTTTGACCAATTTTAACCTTAAGGGTATTTTGGGCATTTTGGGAATTTGATTGGGAATTTAGGTTAGTCGGTTGGAATATGAGTCAGTTGGAGCTGAGATTCGGAGTCGATACCTTATCAACTTTTTTCCAGTTTGCGAGGTGAGTTTTCCTCACTGTACTTATGGGTCGATGGCACCAAGGCTGACCTATTGGTTGATATTCTCTGATATGATGAGTATGGAATAAACATGCATGTTTATGTTAGTTATTGGTATGCTAGTCTGGTAGATCTATATGACTACTTGTGATTCTGTTGCATTATTATCTGTATATGTTTATCATTTGGTATATATCGACATATTGTGTTAGGTTGAGGTTGTACTGCTTCATGCAGTAGCCAACAACCCCTCGAGCATTCCATATATGAGATGAGGGTTGTGTAGGGCATGCCATATTCATAATGAAGGCTCATGAGCATTCCAGATACGAGATAAGGACTGGGCGGTATGCCAAACTCGTACTGAGGGCTTCAGGGTATTCAGTCCGAGGACTGATCTAGTCAGGGAGCAAGCCAGAGATACGTTGTGGGCCCCGAGGGCAAGCCAGAGTTATGTTGTTGGCTTAGGGGTAATCCAGTCTTTTAGTTGTGGACCCATTGCATCTTGTTATTGTATATATGTTATTTGATAATGTGTTGGTATTTTGGGGGGAACTAACTAAGAGTTGGCTAACAGTTTTGGGATATGTTTTAGGTATTTCGAATGACCGCAGGAAGGCGTAGGTGTGACCGTACACATCCTCTTGTTATGATCTTTGATTTTGGGAATACTCTAATGTTAGAAATATTTTTAAAACTTTTTGTAAACACTTAATAGTTTTGGGTTGTATTTAATAATTTTTAATTTATCATAATTTTAATGAGTGTTACAGAATCGGTCTCGGGACTCCGACAACCGCTCCTTATGGAAGCTACTTCGAGACTTAGAGAGAGAAGTTAGAGGATTTGTGAAACTGGAATGACACAACCCTCTATTTATAGTCGAGATTTGGAGGTGCGCACCAGGAAAATATATGTGCACACCTTGCATGAAAATCATGGCTCCATCCAGAAGCTACCACATGTCACTCCCCCTACTCGGAGACGTGTACCTAGTGCGCATGATTTTTTTTTTTTTTTTTTTTTTTTTTTGCAAAAATCATAACTCCTTCATGCGTGTTCTGATCTAAGCCCTCTCTCTCTCTCTCTATATATATATATATATATATATATATATATATATATATATATATATATATATATATATATATATATATATATATATATATATATATATATATATATATATATATATATATATATATATATATGATGATCTGAATGGGTACTACAACTCCCATTTAGGTTTTTTTGGCTAGTTTTGAATTTCATTTTCGTGCCTAACGGGGTTAAAAATAGATGATTATATAAAAATCATATCTCTCTCCTACAAACTCCATTTTTGGAAAACGTTTTCCTAAAGTTTATTACTCGAGGAGTACTACGAAACCCCTTTTTGCACTTTTAGTCAAAACTCAACTAATCTCTAAGTATCATTTTGACATAATTAATTTTAGTTACGTGATTGATTTCTATTTTTTTAAAATCCATAACTCTTTTCTTTTTTAATTAATACATCTTAGTTATCATTGTACAACGAATAAGAAAACAAACAGGCAACAAGTTGCGCCACTAAGACTTTTTGTTTGGAGTCGGGTTTTTACGAATCTTATATCTTTGAGATCACGTTAACGAGTACTATGCAAGTATGTTAACCATGTTAGGAAACGTTTCAACTTTTCGGACGCTAATTTTTTAGACTAATGAACATTTTTAACAATAAATATAACTGTGCATTCGGTTCTTATTATCTCAAAAATCAAATATTAAAATTTTATGCTATTACATCTATTTTCCCACCCTTTCCTAATGGCGATCATCTATTTTGTCAAGAAATTTTATCTTGTCGCCAGGTTTCCTTCTAACATGTGAGCGTACTTGTCCTTCACTTGGTCTTCTCGTTCCCATGTGTACTCTGGTTCTTACCAATGTTGTAAAAATTGCTCGGTGGTAGCTTGACGGTCGACTGATGATAAGCAATTAATCGGACTAGGCGGGGATTAATCGGAGATTAATCGGGGACCCTTAATTATTAATAAAATTATTAAAAAAAAATTAATATTCCCTAAAAAACTAAATATTTGAAAATTTAAAATTTTTATAAATTAAAATTTTGAAAATTTTAGTTTAATATTTTAAAATTTGAAATCTTAAAAATTTGAAAATTAAAAACTTTGGTGTAATATTTGAAAACTAAAAATATTTGAATTTTTAAAAAAATCCCCGCCTAAGACTGCCGAGACCGCCAAGGACTGCCAAGGCCGACTTGGACCGATTATGACCAATTTCCGCCAAACACCCTAATCGTAATCGGTTTAAGGCCGCTAAGAAATTAATCGCCAATTAATCGGCCGCCAAGGCCGATTTCTGCGACACTGTCCATACATAGAGTTCCATCGCACCTTCACAATGGGAATCTAACTTCACTTGAGTCGTTTGACCTCTCTATCCATTATTTCAACTAGCTCTTCAATGAAGTTTAGTTCAGGTTAATCTGAATTTCATCAAGTGGGATGACGAGCGTATCGTCAGAAAGGCACTTCTTAAGCTTTGACACATGGAAGACATCGTGAACATTATTAAGCTCTTGGGGTAACCTAAGTCGATACGCAATTGGACCTATCCTTTTGAGGATTTTGAATTGTCTTATGTACCTTTGATTTAGTTTACCCCGCTTTCCGAATCTTATAACTCATTTCCAAGGAGATACTTTAAGCATCACCCTATCTCCAACTTGGAATTCCAGGGGTTTACGCCTCACGCCAACATGGCCCTTTTGAAGGTCACGTTCTACCTTCATGCATTCTCTTATCGGTACTATGTTTTTAGCCATCTCGTGGATAATCTCTGATCCTGTTCGTTGGATATCCCCTATAAATTTCTTTGTTAGTTGGCTATCGCAAACTTCTGTGCAACAAATAGGAGATCGACATTTACGGTCGTATAGTGCTTCGAATTGCGCTACTTTGATGGTTGTGTGATAGCTATTATTGTATGAGAACTCAACTAAAGGAAGGTGAGTATCCCATGCATTTCCGAAATCTATCACACATGCTCTGAGCATGTCTTCCTGCATTTGGATGGTCCTTTCACTTTGGTCATTGTTTTGTGGATGATAAGTTATACTCATATCCAGAAACATAGCAAGGGACGTTTACAAACTCTACTAGAAGCGAGAGGTAAACCTACTATCTCTATCAGAGATAATGGATAAGGATACCCCATGTAATCTGACGATCTCTTAAAGGTACGTTCTGGTCAGTTTCTCCATCTTATCCATTTCTTTTATCGGTATTAAGTGGGCAGACTTAGTTAATCTATCAAAACTACCCATATAGTATCGTAACCAACAGTAGTCTTTCATAATTTGGTAACAGAATCCATTGGCATCCACTCCCACTTCCACATTGGAATCTCTAGTTATTGCGACAATACTAAGGGCCGTTGATGTTCTGCCTTGACCTTGGAACATGTTTGGCATTTACCTATATAGGTCACAATCTCAGCCTTTACTTTTGGCCACCAATATATTGCCTTTATGTGCAGATACATCTTATCTACTCAAAGATGAATGGAATATCTAGTTTTATGGGCCTCATTTAGAACTAGTTCCTTGACCTTTCCATATTTCGGAACCCATATTCGATTCATGAAATATCTCATTCCATCGTCCTGGATTTCTAGTTGTCTTTCCTTCCCTCTAAAGCCTTCTTCTTTGATATTTCCGCCCATTAAATCCTAGAGTTGAGCACTCCTAATATGCGAGATTAGATTAGACTGGATATTCATGGTAAGTTCTTTGACTCTACATGGTTTAACTCATTCTTTATGGCTCAAAGCATGAGCTACAATGTTAGCCTTTACTGGATGGTAACTGTTGTGACATGCTCATAGGGGAATGGAAAGCCAGATGATGGGTCAGACTTTGATGTTTTCCTGAGAACACAACACAAAAGAATCTTTAAAGGTTGTCTGGGTGTTCTCCCGAGACGTTGCTCCGACGATCAAGTTAGTTTTTCTCGAGAGAGTTTTAGGGTAAATTTCGTGAGGAAGAAGATGGATCCATTCCTTGAGTTGGAAGAGTTCCTTTTATACATGTTACTAACGGATCGTGGGGACCTTATACAACGAGTGTTAGATGTGGCCTCCTCTTACTAGGAATATTATGCACATGCTAACTAACTGCCAGGCGATGTCAGTTCTGGGCATCACCTAGGCTTTTTGTCACGCCCTGATTGATCTTCAGTGAATGAAAAGATCATGGGGGATATTCTTTCCTCGTGAGGGAAAATGAACTGTCACCCCAATGCCGGCACACTTAGGCCAAGACCAGGTCTCGGAAAAGGTTCTGGCGTGATAACGTCTTAGTTAGGTTTTCCGTTATATTTAACGTGGCCGTACATGGTAACATTAATAAGTCCCTTAAGCTAGTAGGTTTCTGCATTAATGATGTAGCAGAGTCGTTCTGGTAGACTCACAGACATGTGGCGGGCTGCTACTGATAACTTATGCGGTTGTCAAAGCGAAATTACCATTCTTCAGCAGTTTCATCATGAAAATGGTTGGCTACCCCTTTATTGGAATTTAAACCTATGTCGTTCCTTGTGTTCCCTCCTTACCTTGTTACCTTCTTTCTTTGTCTTCTTGCCCCAAAGAATCCATTCAACCTTTTCGTTGCACTCTTTAATGGCTACTGCATGTTCTTTGGGATGAGATCTTATTGTCGAGGAATGGGAATCTTTCCAGTTCCGATTCGGGTTTGTCGCTGAATACGGAGTGCAAATCCCCCTTTCTGATGCATCGCTTTATAGTCCTCCTGAGGGCAAATTCGGCATTCCGATCGCCCTATTCAAAGCGGGTATATGTTTGCCTACAACAAACTTCTTCAACCTGATTATTCGGGAGTATGGGTTTTCCGTTAGAGAGATGACCCTCATTTCTATGAACAAGATAGTGGGTTTTGAACTCCTATGCCGTGCCCTAGGGCGCCTGCCAACTATTCTGGCATTCAAGTACTTCTTCAATGCTTCCACTCAATTGGAGACTCGAACCCTTTCTCGCCGGCCGGGAGTCCTTACTCTTGTCCACGACAAAAAGTCCAAGAAGAACTGGCATGAGAAGTTTCTGTGGGTGAACTACAACCTTGTGGTGCTTAGCTACCCAAGGACTAAGATGTATGTGGACCGTGCTCCAACACTTTTTGGTACTGATAAAGAACTAGTTGATGCCCTAGAGAAGATCAGCATCAATGGCAAGGACTGGCATGACAACTTCTTGGCTGCCGAGGTAATGAGCGCCGCTTGGAGGGCTCAAGGGAAAATACCTGAGATTTTCGTCGAGAAAGAAGGTACAATGCTTCTCGTTCTGTTTTCTCTTGTCCTCCCCCCTTTTTTCTTTACTTGTTGTAACCCTTGAAAATGGTAATCTTTATTAACCGTTATTGTCTTTGCTCTCTTACCAGGTGTAGAGGAGTTTATATCCTTGGAGAAAGCTTTTCAAGGACTATTCGATGGTAAACTTTAGTGTCACGACCTCGACCATGTAGAGACTCTTCCATACCCTGTTTCTGGTCAAGGAACCAGGGCTACCATCGGCTGAGAAGGCACTACTGGCACCGACGAGGATCCAGACCTATAGGGTGTTGTCGTTACTGGTGCTTCTCAGAAGGATCCTACCCCTTCTGGGTCCCCAAGGAGTCTCCTACGTGTCAAGAGGCACATTGCTTTTCAGGAGGCCTCTTCTGGCGGTTGTGCCGAGATGGTTAGCATCGAGTCCACTCTCCGTAAGAAGCATAATCTAAGTTTCTTGCTAAGGGGTTCCAAGATTTCAACCGTGCCCCCGATGAAAGTCCTCTAAAACTGTTGGAGGGGGCACACAACAGGGCAACTAAACCGCCCAATCATTCAGAGGAAGAAAACATCAACATGACCAGACCCGATCCTTCTGTCGGAGGAGCCAAGGCGAAGACTGGGTCTTTGCCTTCCCAAGGTCATGTATCAACTTCTTCTAGAAAGGCATGAGTTGTTCCTCCTTCTACAAGGGCTCACTCAAGTGCTTAGCAACCATCTTGGAGTCTAACCCCCAGAGACCTAGTATCCGACCATGATACCGCTCTTGAGTGGTTTCACCATGCCTTTCCCCCTTCTACAACTGAGTCTTTATCTATTTTAGGGGATGAGCACATGGTGGACGGTCTTCGCTATACTGTTGCCTAAGTGTTATCCTACCTGGTTGCCGATACTAAGCACATCTCTAACATCGAGAATATCCAATCCAAGGCAGATAAAATGGGGGTTGAATGTGTAGAGCTGAAAACCCAGGTGAAAAAGATGGAAGCTGACAACTGCAGCTGGGGGGCTAAGCGAGAGTTGGCGTTGCTTAAGAAGGCAAGCTTGAAAGAGCAAGTGGCAAAGCTGGAGGAAGAGGTTAGTCACTTGAGTGATCGCATGGGAGCCTTGATTTTGGAGAATGTCGGTCTAAGCGAGTGGACGAAAGAGCTGGAAGCTGACCTGGTTGGGGAGAATGCTGCAAAAGGAGTGTTGGAGAAGGATATTTCGTGGATCCTTAGCGATAGGCTTTGTCGAATGGTGGACAGGATGATTAAGAACCCTCAGTAATTTCAGGGTTTAGTTCATGAGCAGGCAGCTTGTGTGGCGGTAGGTGTGGAGCAGGGGAAAAAATTACTAAGGAGCTGGTGATTGCCGGGGTGTTTGATCCAAAGGGTAGGGTGGACATGGCCACCAAGACCCAAGAGATGGAAGATGCCATGACAACTTTTACTGAAACAAATTTTGTTGGCTATCTTTGCTTGGGTTGTCTATACATAGTTGGGCTCCTTGAACTTTGCCAAGATGCTCAGAGTGATGGGTCAAGCCTGGGCCCAACCTCTTCCCCTGGTGATGGTAACACCCATGCCCATAAGTAGTGCTGCTTGCCTAGTTTGTTTTGACGTAACCTCTGTGAACAATATTTTCTATGTCTTTCTTTGATTTTTTTCTTTGTCGCCCTTAGTGGCAGCCTTAAAGTCTAAGACTCCACTAATCTAGCAATGGTTACTTTTGATTAGTAGGTATGAATGATTCTCACTACTGTATATATTCTATTGTTTGGTTGCTTTGTTTATGGTTTATGTTGGCCATCACATAGTATTTATACAGGGTTTGCTGATATCCCTGGTTTGAGTTCTTTTCTTTGTGAACTCCTTGTGCTTTTCTAATGTTGGTCTTTGAGAAATTTGTTCTAATTTTCTGCTTAAAGACCCTAGGTGTAGCCAAGATCATCATCTTGAGGCTCACCTGATTATGCTATCTCATTAGTGGAAGGTTATGACACTGCTACACTCATGTCACATGTTCTTTTAATTTGGATGTTTTCTATAATGTGATTGATGAACATGTTTTGGGGGAAAGGTTATGAACCTTTTTTATACAACCCCTGGCTGCCTCCTTGTACCGTTTTGCTCGTGTGACGTTGGATGATCAGTCCTTGTTTTCACACGATAAACATACACAACCTCTTTATTTTATTTTTCAAGCTTGAAAATAAGGAGCATCTGAATTACCCTTTCTGTTTTTTCTTGTTTTGTTGTTAGAGTGTTATAAGACTGAAAGTGGTAAAGTAATTTTTGTTGATTACATTTACATGTCAAAACTAATATCTAGTTGTTTTGGTAGCATTGAATCTATCTTTAACACTCATTTTAAGAATAAAAATGATGTAGGCTCTATGCATTCCAATTAAGTTCATGGAATGGCATGCCCGTCTTGAGCTTCTAGGACATAAGCACCATACTTATGGGTTTCCACGATTTTGTATGGTCCTTCCCAAGTAACACTGGGTTTCCCCAATGGCTAGGCATCGTTGGACTCATTTTTCCTTAGCACACATTCTCCAACTTTGAAATTCTTGACCAGGACTTGTCAGTTGTAATAGTTCTCGGTGCGTGATTTATATAGTGTTTGGCGCATTTTTGCAGCCTCACGTTTTTCTTTGAGCATGTCCAGGTCCTGGCGTCGCTCCTCTTCATTAGTTGATTCCTTGAAAATTTCTGGTCGTAGGGAGCCTACAACTATCTCCAAGGGGAGGGTTGCTTCTGTCCCATAAGTTAGACTAAATGGGTTTCTCCCGTGCTTGACCTTGTTGTGGTACAATATGACCACATCACAGTCGGGAGGTCATCCACCCAGGCTGACTTTGATTTGAGTAGCCTTTTCTTCAAACCATTGACTATGGTTTTGTTTGATATCTCAGTTTTTCCATTCGCCCAAGGGTGCGCTACTGACGTGAACCAACGATGGATTTTCTTGTCTTCGCACCACTCCTTGAAGGGACTTCCTTGAAATTGCGTACTGTTATCACTTATGAAGATTCTAGGAGTGCTAAAATGAGCCAAGATGTTCTTGGTCATGAAATTTATCATTTTCTTGCTAGTATGGTGGCCAGCAGTTCTGCCTCTATCCATTTGGTAAAATAATCGACGGCTACAAAAAAAATTCATGCCCCCCGACGCTGGTGGGAAAGGTCCCACTATGTCAATCCCCCATTGATCGATGGGCCAGGGGGTTGGTGATGCTAGTTAATGGCATGGCTAGTAGATTTTTGAAAGGAGCAAATGCCTGGAATTCTTTGTATTTCTTTGTTAGGGCTGCGGCGTCGTTGTACACATCTAGCCAATATACCCTTAGGCGGAGTATTTTTCCTGTATGTAACACCCATAAATATTAAGCCAATTTAAAACTTTTTTAACCAATTAAAAACCATAAATTATTAGAAAGTGTTTTCAAAATAGTTTCACTTCAGAGTATCCCATAAATCAAAATCATAAAATGTGAGGAGTTGTACGGTCACGCTTTCGCCTTCCCGCGATCATCCAAAGTACCTGAAACCAAAACTAAAACCGTAAGCCCGAAGCTTAGTAAGTTTCCCCTAAAATAACTATACACACAACACTATACATTATATCACAAACAACATGCTATAGGTCCAGTCACCCATCGGCTTGGAATACCCAGGCCCTCAAACGTTGGGTTGGAATGCCAACATAATATAGGTCCAGTCATCCTCGGGATGGAATAACCCAGGCCCACAACCATCAGGTTGGAATGCCCATATACTAAGAGTCTAATCATCCTTAGGATGGAATACTCGTAGCCCACATCCATTGGGTTGGAATTCCTAGGTTTGTTGGCTCTTGCTCAAAGCAGATAAGCCGCAACCACTAATCAAACATGTGCACATATATTCGACAATCACATAGCAGTCTATAAACATGGAAACCGATCTAACAGATCATAACAACATAATAACATCCTATCTACCAGGATACTGATCTAACTGATTATAATAGCATAATACCATCCTATCCACCGGGATACTGACCTAACAGATCATACTAGCATACATATCAGGATAACAATCCAAAAGGATTGGTCTTTGTGCCTTAGACCCTTGAGTATAGTGAGGAAAACTCACCTCACAACTTGTCACAACTGGCAATTTAGCTAGGAAATTCTACACTTTTGTAAAAGTTAACAATGGCAACAATTGTAACCATAACTTGAAAATGTGTTTGATGTTCTAGCAAAATCCAACTGTAAAGCCTAAAACTTTATACAAAACATTTCAAATAGTCAACATAGGATTGGAAACCCTAAGAATCCCGGTTTAAGTCTACTAGGATTTCCTTATTGGGCCTAATGGACCAATAAGCTTCCAATTTAACTATTTTGGGTTTATGAACCTTAAATGGGCTCTAATTGGACCCACTTTCATGAAACTTAGCATTTTGGGCCATTTGGGGTCCAAAATAAATTGGTTTGCCATTAATGGGCCTTACTGGGCCATAACTAATCCAATTAACCCTAATAGGCCATAAATACAACCTTTATATCAAATTGGGCCGTGAATACACTTACAGGCCCAATGAGCCGAAAACTTTCCTTATGGGCTTCATAATTCCGAGCAAGGACCAAGATAAGGCCCAAGCTTCCCCATAATTGCCCCATTTCGACCCAAGTGTGTAAAATAATAATAATAATAACAATAATAATAATAATAATAATAATAATAATAATAATAATAATAATAATAATAATAATAATAATAAGAGTAAATTGCAAAAATGGTCCCTGTGGTATGCAAAATTTTGGGGTTTTAGTCCAAACCTCGAGTTTTTTGGAACCATAGTCCTTTTGGAGTGGTTTCTATGTGGTTTTGGTCCCTGGACTTAACTCCCGTTAAGTTGGAACTGTTAAGCCCCCCTCACGTGCCTCACACGTGAGGGTAATTTCGTCATTTCATATGTCAGGGACCATTTTTGCATAAACGTTTTTTTGGATTAATTCCTTTTAAATACCCCCATTTCCTGCGATCTTCTTCCCCAACGTCTCTTTTCTTCTACCCTTCTTCTTCTTGAGCTCTGCTACAACAAAAATGGTGCTATGTTTTTGTGGAAAAGTTGCTGTGGTGAAAACGTCTTGGACCCCTTTGAATCCAGGAAGGAGATTTTTTGCATGCCCTATGAATGATTCCGTTTGTGGGTTTATTGGGTGGCTTGATCCCCCAATGTGTGCTAGGTCTAAAGCCATCATACCTGGTCTGCTAAGAAATTTGAATTCAGTGCAGGAACGGTGCAATGAGTTGGTTAGAGGTATGAACATGCTACAAGATCAATGCAATGGACTGATATGCAAGAACAACATTTTGGTGGCAAATGTCAGAGCATTGAAGGATGATAATTTGAAGCTGAAAATGTACATGTTTGGAAGTTGGTTTTTCTTTGTGATTGTATTCTTTTATATTTGGTTTGTGTAGGGGTATACTCTGAAGGGTGTTTTGGTCATTTTGTTGTAATTTTATGTGATCAAGTTTGTAGTGACTTATGATGATAATGATATATGTACAATTTTATGATGCAAGTGTAATGAATGTTTTACCAAAATGGTATGAATGTATAAGAATTAACATATGAATAGAAATGGTATGAATGTGTTACAAATATATATATATATATATATATATATATATATATATATATAGAACCAATTGTACATAACCAAAATGCACATTTCATTAAGATTTGTAATATAACAACCAAAGTTTCTAAACATAACAACCAAAGATTCTAAACATTACCAAAAGGGACACATTACCATACCTAAGATAACAACCAAGTTTTCATAACAACCAACCAAAAATTTTCAACAAAATATTGTAAACATAACAACCAAGTTTTCATAACCAACCAAAATCACAGAAAACTCCATGCATGCATGACACATTACTTCTTGGATTGATTCCCACCTTGCCCTTTACAGGTCCTAGAGTTGTGTCCCTTGTTCTTGCATTTGCTACAAGTAACACTGATATGCTTCCTTGATAGCTTCTGCACTCCATCATTTGTTGGTTTTTGGGAACCTCCTTCTTGTGCAGCATTCACTCCATCACCTTGACTTGCCTTCTGCTTTTTGCTTAACCTTTCACCCTCACTTTGTCTTCTCTTTTTCTTAGGCCTTCCCACCTGAGTGCGATGTGGAGGAGGGATTAGCTTTGTGGGACATTCACTTTTGGGCCACATGGATCTACCCTTAATTGGCTCCACCTTAAAAGAATAAGCCTTTTTCCATGTCTCTAGAAAATACACCTTGTGAACCCATTTGTAAATGTCAAGCTCAGCCTCTGGGTCTTTACTCATCTCATTCAGAGTTGCAATTGCATGTCTGCATGGAATTCCAATTAATTCCCATTTTCTGCAAGTGCATGTTTTGTTCCTAACATCAACCACATGTTGATCCTGCAAAGCTCCTGTGACTTGATACTTGTCTCCCCCATTCCACCTAGCAATGTATTGTGAAGCAACTGTTTTTCTTGCAGCTAGGATGTCTGTTGCTGTGGGTGTTAGTGGACCTTTAGCCTTTTTCATTTCCTTCATGACATTGCATATCCTCTTCATTAGATACTCCCTTATGAATTCTAAACATCCAATGACAGGTTTATCCCTTCCTTTCTCTATCTTCCCATTAAACACTTCACACATGTTTGATATCAACACATCAGAAACTGCTCTTCCTGTGTGTAAATTACAATTAAAAAACATTTAATACAAGTCACATACAAGTAAAACAGTTCACTAAGTGAAAGACATAAGGACCAAATTGGAATATATAGATTTACCTGAAAAATGACTCCTTGCCCAATGTTTAGGAGGAATTTGCTTCAACCATTCACATGCCTCCTTATCATACTGACTAAACTCCTTCATCAAATGTTCAAACTCAGGAATGGTGGTAGCTGATGCACACCTCCATAAGTGGTCCCTGTACTCTGTTTGCCTCCATCTTTTCCTCATATTGTCATGAATATGTCTGATACAATATCTATGCTCAGCATTGGGAAAAATTTGCTCAACTGCAGTATGTAAACCCTGCAAAAATTAATTTTCAATCATTAGAATTAACTTACAACCACACTTTAAATGACCAAATGTATAAAAACTACTTCCAACTTTACCTTTTGCCTGTCACTTATGAAAGTAAAATTTGAGTTTCTTCCAAGGTCCAAGTCATCCCCAAGGTTATCTAAAAACCATTTCCAGCTTTCTGTGTTTTCAGACTCAACAATCCCATATGCTAATGGGTAAATTCCATTATTGGAATCAAGACCAACTGCTGAAAGGACTTGCCCAGGGAATGGTCCTTTCATGAAGGCACCATCAAAACCTAATAAGTCCCTAAGGCATGCCTTGAACCCTTTTTTCAGTGGACCCAAGCACACATAAATTCTTCTAAACTGCCTAGTTGGGGAATCAGGGTTAGGCTCAGAACATACATCTATTTTCACTGTGGTGTCTGGGTTGGTGGCTTGAAGTTCGAGAACATAGTCCCTCAACAGTTCATACTGCTTTGTGTAGTCACCAGTTACATGCTTTCTTGCCTTATCCTTTGCCCTGAACACCTTGTCCATACTAACACCCACTTGGTAGGTCTTTTGAAAGTGATCTTGTATAGCTCTCAAAGGTATATCTGGATTCGCCTCAACTTGATCAAAGATTTTCTTGCTGATTAAAGAAGCAGTACAAGCCCTGAGTTTCCTTGTTTGCAAACATGTGTGAGTTTGGTTTAAGGTCCTTATAAACCAGTCGGATTCAGGATTTGACCTAGATGCATGAATGTACCAACCACATGTTACTTTTTGTGTCTTTAATTCTTTACCCTTTCTTTTTGAAGTGGTAGCTTGACTACCCACTTGGCCTTTATTGGTGACAGGTACAACACCTCTACACTGTGCCCTAAGCCTTACATTGTCATTTTTTTAAAGAAAAGATTCCTTCTTGATTCTAGTGCATGCAGATCAATTGCCTCCTTTAATTCTTTTTTACTATTAAATTTATCTCCAACTGAAAAAGATTGTTTATGTACTACCCCAAGACTGCACCTTTTTTCTTTTCTCAAATTCTTGATAAGAGCTCTTCTCTCTCTGTCTTGGTCGGATCCTTCATCCAAAGATTCAAATTCCTCATTGTTAATCACTTCCATATCTTCAGGTTCATGCCCATGAACAACATTTATACAAGAACCTTCCACATCACTTTCAACATTGAGAGTGAAGTCTCCCATGTCCACATCCACATCCTGTATATTGTTGTCAACATCCATTATGTCATCCATATGATCTTCATCTTCTATTTGTCTCTCATCTTCTTCATACTCTGGATCACTATTTTCAGATTCATCATACTCTTCAAAATTTGGATCACTTTCTTGAGATTCATCATCCTCTTCATACTCTTGATTACCCTCTTCAGATTCTCCATCCCCTTCATACTCTGCATTATCATCATCACTCCCAATCAAATTTTCCATAAGGTTATCAAATAACTCATTCAATTGTTCATCAGCATTATTAACAGGGGGGTGTTGTAGCCTTCTTCATCAAAAGTTGATGCCTCTTGAACAACATTTGCAGCCTCCCTAACACCATCCATCTCATCAATATGAACACAAGTTGCTGCCTCCTGAACATTAGTTGAACCATCCAGATCATCATTCTTTTCCTTTGAAATGTGAACAACCTCATCAATATAATCTAAATTAAGCCTTTTGCTACAAGAACTTTCACCTATTTTGGAATTCCCAACCCTACCCCTTCTATACTCTGGTGAGAAACTATCATTCTTACTCCCAAAAAGAATCAGAGACATGAACTCACCAATAGGCTCACCATTACCATGGTTCACATTTTTCATTGGAGAATCTGCATGAACTTGACCCTCAACTTCAGCCCCTTGATCATCATTTTCTGGTAATTCCTCAATGACAACTTTACCCTTTGCATTTGGTGACATGAAGTAAGTCAATAAATTTGTCTTTCCATGCTCTGTGTACACCTCAATCAGCTTGTTATGTGCAATGTATTTAGAAAGGTTGATCACATCCTGATCATTCCCTAAAGCTCTAAGACCAAATTGAAAGTCACCATTGGGTATCCTAAAATGGTAGTATATAACTGGGGATTCATCAGCGAATTCAGAATTTCGTGGGTCTGGGTAACCTAGGTCAAGCATTATGGCATCAAGTTCATGCACAGAAAACTCATCAATGTCCAGATAATCAACATAACGCACTTCACCTCCAATGTACTTTATATCAGGTAATTTAGTAAATTTCCCACCGTGATGAAGCTTAATACTAAACCATGTGGGTGCACCAGCTAAAAATCAAAATTATACATATTAACAAAGTTAAAATTTTTCATTTTTTTGTTCTAAATCAATAAGAAAATGCAAAGTATAAAAGTTAAAGAAAACAGAGTAGCTTACCATATACAGTTGATACATCAACAACTGCGCGTTTTGGTCTGATATGCCACATTACGAACACCATTTCGTATTAAACGTATGCCCTTATATGTATAGTGTCGATTATCTTGTTTGGATAAGCAACGAGGGTTTTTTGCAGGTTCAATGGAGCAGAAGCAAGAAGGATGGAGTTGGGGAGTTGACGAGTGTTGGGGAAAGTAAATGAGGGGTAAATGTCAATCAATCCAAAAAAACGTTTATGCAAAAATGGTCCCTGACATATGAAATGATGAAATTACCCTCACGTGTGAGGCACGTGAGGGGGGCTTAACAGTTCCAACTTAACGGGAGTTAAGTCAGGGACCAAAACCACATAGAAACCACTCCAAAAGGACTATGGTTCCAAAAAACTCGAGGTTTGGACTAAAACCCCAAAATTTTGCATACCACAGGGACCATTTTTGCAATTTACTCTAATAATAATAATAATAATAATAATAATGATGATGATGGTTAAACTAATCAAACTATGACACATCATTATTATTTGGAGGATAACCAAGTTTAATACACCACATGCATCTAGACAAGTCTCATGTATCCATGCATATTCTTCTCACCCCCTCTCTTCTCTTATTCTCGGCCGAGAGCAAGATCAAGAACACACACACACACAATTTCAAAAAGAACTCTTCCTTTCCTCTCAAATTTTCAAGATTTTAAGCATCTTCAAGAAGGTTTTACCACCAAAAATCATCATTTCTTGGTTAGTTCCTACATATCCAAGTGCTATAACTTTATTTTATGTCGATACACTTCTTCTAAACAACTGTTTGTATATCATACTCTTAGAACCCCCCTAAGTTCGAAAACCACTCAAGGAAGTTTACTAAAGGCCGAAAACCTCTCCATCTCTTCTTTAAAACCGAAACATCAAGCAAAGGTGAGTTCACACCACTTTTTTTTCGGTTTTTACACGATTTTTGGGGGAGAATACAAATAAAATGTGTAGATCTGTGTGTTATATGTTTGATATGTGTGATTTCTTAGTTTATTTTGTAAAAATGTGTTAGATCTTAACACATCTCGACATCTTAAGCAACAATGAGTAAAAGTCCATGAACTAAGTCACCTTATACATCATATTATCAAGTTAAAAGTGTTTATATGTTTAAGATATGAAAATTCAAAGCAAAAATCTTGTTAAGGGTCATATTTGTCAAGAAAACAAAAGATAATGACAAAAAGTGACATTTACGGTTTTATAAGGATTAAATAGGTCATACTTGTATAAAAATGATTTTTTAGGATAACCATACTTTTCAAAGTGCCAAAAGCATAAATTTTAGCCTAATGGGCTTAATATTTGGGCCTTACGGTTTTGGGCCCAATTTTGTGAAAAATAAGTGTTTTGGGGTTAAAAATGTCATTTGATCAATGTTTCAACCATAAATGTAAATAAACCAAATTTAGTGGTGAACATAACATTTATTTCTAAATTGGGGCTAAAAATGCAAAGTTTTTGGCTTTTGGACCAGAAATGTAAAATTCATGGGAATTGGGCCAAAAGTGATTTTTTTTTTACAAATAATGGCTGAAAAGGTTAAGTCTTACAAAACAAGGGTTGAAATGGTCAAATAAATACTTTGAGTCAAATGTGTAAATTTTTAAACTATTGGGCCAAGGATATAGATTTTTATAACTAATTAAAAATGGTATATTTTATAAACTAATAATATCGTTATAGATCATACATTGAGTATCTTAATATCATAAGTAAATGATTCATATAAAAACACTATACCACATTAAATATACTAAAGTAGAACAATGGTACAAATATTGGGCCTGGTACTTGTTATACATGCTTATTGGGCCTTTGTGGCCCATTTGCATGTTTGGTGAGCCCAATATAATCAATTCATGTCTGCTGGGCCTTAGTGACCTAATGACATGGTCAATGGGTCTATATTAAATTTTACATGTTAATGGGCCTTAGTGGCCCATTCGCATGTTAATTTTTCCCAGAGAGATTCATTGTATGCTAAATGGGCTTCAACGTATCCGTTTGCATGCCATCAAGCCTAGAAATAACTTACATGTTTAATGGGCCGCAACTATCCTTATACATGTTTGTTGGGCTGTGTTTTTCACATTCAAGTATCATCAGGTGTTAGTAAATCAAACTACATTTAACATTAAACATATTCATGTGGAAAATCATTATGGTCTAGAGAGAATTATCGGTCGACGCCATTGAGTGTTTGGTGGTAGCCTGTAGTTATAATCAAAGTCTCCTAGAGGGACAGCGAGAGTTTGTGTATAAATCTATAAGGGGGAGACTCCCCCACACCTGAGTTGTTCGCTACAATTAGACTCGACCAGTCTAGGTGACAAAATCTTGATCAAAACCGGCTTTGGGAAAATGTCAAGACATGTGAATTAGTCATTTATCATGCATGGTTATAACGACTCACATAGAGATCCATTACCATTTATACTTTTCAGGGGAAATCAAATCCATACATCGTGGCGATACAAAATAATTCATACGATTATGCAAATATTACAATACTATTATTGATCGGAAAATATCGGATTTTTTGGGAAATACCATCATTTACTTTCTTCTACATACATCAAATACAAGACAAGGAAAACTTTTGGGATTCATTCATTTACACATGTTTTGAAATTACACATACACACATATATTGGATCATCACATCATGTTGTAAACAAATGTTATAGAAAATATTGGATTTTTTGGGTTATACAGTCGATATAAAGCTTTTTATATCAAACTTGCTTATGAACTCACCAACATTATATATGTTGAATTTTCTCAAAATAACTTGTATTCACAAGTAACCGTTAAGCCGAAGAATCATCAAGTGTATTTTAGTAATCTTATTTTTTTGAAATGTTAACTCCCGTACAATTTATGATCTGAATATGTAATATTATACACTGTACTTGATGTGAACGATGCTGGTTGTAATATGTAATGGTTGGCAATGATCGTGCTACAATTCATGTATATTCGTTGTGATGATAATTCAATTGATAGTCACATGAGCCCTCGGACGTTTCCGCCGTCTGGTTCAAGGGTGTGACACAACTGTCAAATTGTAGTTATAAGGTCAAATGCTCGAATCACAGCCACAAACTCCACCACCTATATCCACCATAAAACCACTTCCATAAATTCCGAATTTACTAAAATACCCCCAAAAGTCAAACTGGTCAACCCTTGGTAAAAGTTAAAGTCAATGGTCAAGGTCAACAGTCCATGTTAACCTAACTCGTCGAGTGCAGCTCACTGGCTAGTCGAGTCTTTCCAGAATGCGAGAAATCGCGAAAACCCTAGTTGACTCGCCGAGTTTCCAAACAACTCGTCGAGTCCATGCGGAAACTAACAACAATCAATCTTCATCGGACTCGCTGAGTTGTCTATGCGACTCGTCAAGTTCATCCAGTCCAATTCTTATCCAGACGTTTTTAAGCCACCCCAAAGGTCCATAATGCAGATCTAACCTCCTAGGGCATGGTTTCCATGTAAAGTTGCAAACTTTATGTGCATGCATGGTTCTAAATGCCAAAACCAAGCTAAGCGAAAGGTTTAAGTCAAGGAGAAATGCCCAAGCTTTCTAAATCAGAAAACTTAATGGCTATAGGGACCCAAAGGAGTCCAGATCTGAAGTTACAACTTCAGATCATGCCCAATACACGAAATGACTCCCAAAAATGCAAAATATGGCCCTAAACCTAAATATGAAAAGATCTAGCTAAAGATAAGACAAGGTAGTGACTTGTTACCTTCAAAATGATACCAAGATGAAGTACAGTTAGATCCAGAAGATCCTCTTTGCTTGAAGCTTCTTATACTTCACACATTCTTCACAAAATGCACAAAAATACTCTTTAAGCCTCATAAACACTCAAGAACAAGGTTAATAGTGATTTGGGTTTCTTCTGGCCATCAAGAGGTGATAATGGACTGCAGGTAAGGACTTAAGGTTCTTTAAATAGGCTACTAACTGTAGAAATTAGGGTTTCATCTCC